CAGAGAAACGGACCACACACCATCGCCTTACCCCGCACACAGGAAATGTTCATCCACAATGCTTTTCAGAGAGACACAAACCCTGGGCGGAAGCTTACGGAAAAGACGGGGCGAGAGCTGTCCGCTGATCTACAGAGGGAGATCAAAGATAGTAAATGAGGTTCTCGTAAAGAACTCAAGGTATTTGACAACGAAGGGGCCACAAGACGGAGGGAATGAAGAGCAACAGAAAAATGAGTCGCACGTGTATGAAGGACAGTCTTTGGGCTGAGAATAAAGCAGCAAATATTGTCATGTCCTTGTACAGAGCCATAGGGCCGCCTCATTCGGAAATACTGTACGCCGTTCTGGTAGCTGTGTGTCTCAAAAAGGATCCTGCAGAGCTGGAAAAGTACAGGAGGCCATCAAGATGACCGAGGGGTTGGAGCGCCTTCCTTATTTTATCTGTTTATGTTACAATCCACCTTTTCCCCTGGGACTCAAGATGGATTACACCAGGGGTGTCACACGTGCAGCCCGGGGGCTGGATCAGGCCCCCAGAGGACTTCTATCAGGCCCGCAGTGGAACTGGCTGTCTTCTGCTTTTTTTTTCAGTTTTGCTGCTGCATCATTGTAGGTTTGCAGCTTACAGATACACACCTGAACAGCATACTCAAGACTGCAACAGCACAGACATTTTGATGCAATGATTCAGAGCAAGAGGTGTCAGTTATCAGAAGCTGTTAAGGAAACCAAATATTGCAAGAGTGCTAATGTGCTTCCAACTGCAGTCAATCACAGGAAAGCCCAAATGCAGGCCCTGCAGACAACAGCCCTCACCTGCTGACTGCTTCCTCGCACCTATCAGCCCAGAAGCCCCGTTCAGGTCGTCCCTGGTTAATAAGGTGGTGGCAAATCCACTCTCCATCAGCCTCCCCAGCCCCCCATTTTAAAATCCACCTAAACCAATGTCCCTCACCATATCTTGCGGCAGAGAGAACCACAATTCAACTGCCGTGTGTTTAGTCTCGAATCCACCACCAATCAATGCCTTCCCCCGAAAAAAACATCAGAAGAGCCCTGCTGGGTCAGACCAGTGAGGGTCCATCTAGTCCAGCCTCCTGTCTCACACAGTGGCCAACCAGTTCCTCTGGAGGGCCAGCAACAGGGCAGAGAGGCCGAGGCCTTCCCCTGATAAGAGCATCAGAGGAGCCCTGATGGGTCAGACCAGGGAGGGTCCTCTAGTCCAACATCCTGTCTCTCACACAGGGGCCAGCCAGTCCCTCTGGAGGGCCAGCAACAGGGCAGAGAGGCCGAGGCCTTCCCCTGACGCTCCTGGAAATGGGATTCAGAGGCTGACTGCCTCTGAATGTGGAGGTTCCCCTTCAGTCACCACGGTTAGCAACCACTGACAAACCTCTTCTCCACAAATTAAGATTGCAGAACGTAAAGCCAAGCAAAAGTCTGAAAGAAAATGGGGGCTCTGGACGGAGAGGGAGGGCCCCTCTGATTGAACAATTTTGGCTTTTTTTATACTCTGACCCCTTTCAAGATGATCCCTAGCATGGAGTTTACCTCTTCCCTTCCCCCGTAAAAAAGCCACCAGGGTGTAGTGGTCAGAATGTCAGACTAGTATCTGGAAGACCCAGTTTCAAATCCTCACTCATGCTATGGAAGCTCACCTACCTCACAGGGTTACTGAGAGGACGAAATACAGAGAACCACGCAAGCCA